ACCCTCGAGTTGACCTTTGATAACTGCCAAAGTTTTCACTTTGTACCAGACTGTATAACATTCACTCACTGATAATAAGTATTATAAAATAGTTTAACCATAATAAAACCAATACGTTACTAAATAAGTAAATATACAGTAGATTATAAAACAAACAAAAACGTATGTATTAGTTATGTTATTCATACTTTTTTCTATATGCCCGGAAATAAATAAATAAACATACTCCTTGCGTCTTATAACCTTTTAACTTGTAAGGTTTACGTTTGCAGAAACGAACAAAAACATCTACGTTGCACTAACTTATTAAGATAAACAAAAACGGGTAATTATTTTCTTTAGTAATAAAATATGTACGCGTGTCATATGTCCATAACAGCAGGTGTTCATTTGAGTTTGCGTTAGTTTCCATAAATATGGCCGACAGCAACACGCAAGCCGCGACGGTAGTAGGTAGAGTATGAATTTCTTACATTTCTGTTCTGTTGTCACGAATTTCATCAACATCCACACCGCGTGTTAATGTAGCCGTACAGATAGGCCTAAACGCCTCGTCGTACGGCAGCTTATAACTGGCTGTATTCATGAATTTTAATCCGTTTCTCTGGAAAGAAGATTGAACAATGTTTTACATTCAGGCGACAGCGGATGATTTGGACAGCAGAGATGCTCCTGTAGTGAAGACATCGTTTCAATTGTTTGTTTGTGTTTGCACGTGGAACTTACAAAGTTATGACTGGCCAGTCTGTCAACATTTGCAAGACATGAACAGGCTCTACTCCTCCCTAGTCCCGTATGTCAGTCTCGACCAGAGCGATATATATTGAGATAGCTGTGATTAAATTATACTTTCAAATTAAGTTCCGCTTCCTGTTCTCGGTTGCGCTTATCACCTCCCGTCAGCAGTACTAGGCCTACAATCACCGTTTCCTATAGCAACGGCCTCTAGTTGCAAGACGATAAGCATGAGTGTTTTTTTTCCTTCTTTTGATGGTGTTCATGATAATGAGAGTAAGTTTAAAAGAAATATCTTTTGTTACACGGAATAAATCTCTACAAAAAGAGTTATGTTTCGTTATTATATATATATATATATACATGTATTGTAGCTACACGCGGTTATAACAAGCTGTAATAAAGATTTATTTTATACAAATATTTCTATTTGTTCCCTCTTTTCTTTTTCTTCTTGAGCAGCTTTTCAAGGCAACCGTGAAGGTAAAAATGTATAACAGTTTACACTGGTGAATGTTAAAACTGCTATAAATTTGGTGGGAATAAAATAAAAATACTAATTTCAGATTAAATCTCTCCATATAGAAGACGAGTTTTTACATTTTATGTAATAGCAGAAGGGTAAAAAAAAAAAACCGCTTTGAACGATAGCGTTGTTTGTTTCTTTATTTTAGCGCAAAGTCACAGAAAAGATGATCTACGCTATATCCACTGGCCACTTGAAATCGATGACGTATTATAGCGTCGTAAGTCAGTAAATTTACTCGGCTCGCAGTACGTGAGTTGCGTGTTTGAGTCCCATCAACGAACATGCTCCCTCTTTCAGCCGTGGGGGCATTATAATGTGACGGTCATCCCCACTTTTCTTGGGTAAAAGATAGTTCAAGAGTTGGCAGTGGATGGTGTTGACTAGCTGCTTTCCCTCTAGCCAATCACTTCAAAATTAGGGATGGCTAGCTTTGCGCGAAATTCAACAAACCGTAAATTTACCGCAGGACTGAACGATAGAACCATGTACTGAAGAAAACATTTTAAGAGTATTTTAATGAAGCATATTCTTTTTTTCAGAAAGTTTACTAGCAATAAACACTTTTTATTTGATTTAGCTAAACAAAAACACAGAGTTTCAATCTCTACGACCCACTAAATCAGAATATCAAAATAATAATACTAACGTAGCTGGAGAAAGTCCAAGTCATGCCTGTAATTTCTTGTTGTAGTTGGTGCTAATATTTTACATTAAGTTATACGATCTGATAACTGTAAGCTCTAACACATTCGTATAATGTATATTAGAATTTCTCATTTCTGTGATGCAATAATTAAACCAATTCTACCTTCAATTATGTTTTCAAGTTATAACGAATAAAATTACTCTCAAGAATCTCCGCCACAAAAATCTCTTCTTCATGATTACAATTTACTGATTGTATAGAAAAGTTTGAAAACAATTTCAACCATTAACAATATATAAAATGTTAACTTCCATGACTGTTTTTTTTTCATCCACATAATGCCATTTCTTATCATTATAGTTTTTAAAGTACGTGCTATACAAATTTTGTTTTGCAGTTACAGAGAACGTGGCGCCATCTGTTATCAGTAAATTACACATTATTTATTGATGCTCATCCTCATGGTACTATCTGCTACTTCTTTGCAAAATTGAACTTTATCATTTTCTTATAAATATATATATATATTAACTTTTTGTAGCATCATACATTCACTATTTTAAAAAATATTATCATTCTTTAATTTTAATACGAGGGACCGGCTTGATACTTCTAAATTGTAAGAATAGAAAAAAAAATACTGTTAGGATTTACACCTGAATATTCTTTAAATGTTTTTTGTTTGTTTGTGAAGTAACACTGACCGGCAAGGTGACTGTGAAGGACCCACGCCTGTCTGCGGACCGGTGGTAGAGAAACATTAGCCTATTGGCGGATTACCAACTGTTAAGACTAATTTATTCTGATCTTAAAAATTGTACATATTGGAGCACATCAGTACAGTTATTGAACTATAAATAGATTGCAAACAACCAATAAATATTTCCAAATGTGAACCAGTAAAATATATATTATCATAGCTTGTTTGTTTGTGTTTAATTATGTACAAAGCTACACGAGGGCTATCTGTGCTCTGCCCACCACGGGTATCGAAACCCGGATTCTAGCATTGTAAGTCCGCAGACATACCGCTCTGCCACTGGGGAGCATTTTCATAGTTATTAATGTCTTGGATTAGACTTTTTATATTTGTGAATGTGGCTCCATCTTTTGACAACATATTATACCCATACTGCAATTTTCTGCACCATTTCTGTTATTAAAACAGAAAGCTAGAGTATCCAGCATCAACTTGTTTATAGTCGCTTACAAACAGAATGAACTAATTTTTTGTGTATAGTTACGATTCATCTTTCGAAATTTTTGTCATACCAAACCTCTCGTCACGTTCTTCAGCTATCTAAATATCAAAATTTTTTGACGCACATAAACAAAAATTACCACAATGTTTATCTTAAAAAACATTATATGGTGAACGTGACTGATCACTATCTCAGTAAATATAGTTTTTGTTTTATCCAGGGGCGGCAGAAGTAATTAAATATGTGGATGTTCTTTTGTGTCCATAACTCATAGTTTGTATTTATTTTTCATTAAAACGAAATAAATTAATTAATCATTTTGCAAGCTCAAAAATATACACATAACAGTTCTTTCGTTTGTATTTTTTTAGGGAGCGGGGCAAAACTTTTGCATAAGAAAAGATGAAAAGAAACCAACGCTTTTGTTTTTTACATCTTAGTCATTATTCAATCACTTTTATAAATGGGTCTCGATCCCTACAGTTTAAAAATTAAAATACTATTATATCTTATCATTGTTAAAAGAAACCTTTTTAGATAATGAGGGTTTATCAAAAACGCTTTTGTTTTGTACATCTTAGTCATTATTCAATCACTTTTATTAATGGGTCTCGATCCCTACAGTTTAAAAATTAAGATACTATGTATTTTATCAATGTTAAAATAAACATTTTAAATAATGAGGGTTTATCAAAAACGCTTTTGTTTTGTACATCTTAGTCATTATTCAATCACTTTTATCAATGGGTCTCGATCCCTACAGTTTAAAAATTAAAATACTATTATATCTTTTCATTGTTAAAATAAACATTTTAAATAATGAGGGTTTATCAAAAACGCTTTTATTTTATACATCTTACTCATTATTCAATCACTTTTATCAATGGGTTTCGATCCCCAGTTTAAAAATTAAAATACTGTGTATTTTATAATTGTTGTTATGCGATAAAATTGAATATTGAGAATAAAATAAAAATTTGTATTGAAAAAAAAAACATTTCAATAAATATCGTATATAACATTTAAAATACAAACATACATTTATTTTGTTTGTTCACCTAAAGGACACGTTGTCCATACAATGAAATAAATGGTCAGGCCAGACACACCTGTAGTTCATTAGTAGTTGTATCTAATTTTGAACTGTGGACCAAAAGGAAGCCAACCAGTTGGTAACAACTGCCACATGCAGCCGATAATCTTAATCAAATAACACGATCGTCTATCACTACAGCCAAACGTGCTAAGCATGTTTGGTAGTACCACATCTAGAACCCAAGATCCTAGGGTTTCCAGTTCAATACTTAACCATTAGACCATGTATACACTTAGCCTGGATAAATCATTTTCTCTCTCTCCTGACTTCTGCTAGTACATAAATGACACAAATATGAATACCGGTTACTAATTATTAAACTTTAGCAACCCTCATTATGAAATACTAAGCTTTTTCAGAAAATATGAAAGAAAAGGTGACCATTTATGTGCAAAATAAAATTTATAAAATGTGTTTAAACATTTCTCCTGAATTACAAAATTAGTCACACATTTTCTATTTTGTATAAACAAACAAGAGGAAAACCAACAAAGGATTGACAAATAGAACACAAATACGATTTCACAACGTAATATTTATTCGTTTTAATGGTTTGAACAGTATATATACAGTATAACATCATTAACTGTGGTTATCAGCTAATGAAGTAACATTTATTTTCTTCATCTGATGAAACAAATTATAATAAATCTAATTCTTTTAATAAAAACATTTGGTTTTAGAAACTGCAAAAACGCAATGTACTTTAGTATAAAAAAGCAATTATATGATTTTCTTGTGTTAAACCCATTAATGTTTAACATTTCATAGGAAATATAAGCAATTTAATTCTTTTTTTTTTTTAGTGTAATACACTCAAGCAGGTACTTTACTTATCTAAGTTTATCAATATAAAAGCATACCATTATTTATCTCAATTTAAAATTTAGATTACGACTTCTGTGATACACAGTAGTCAACCTGGACTAAGATCTTATAGGACTAAATCTCCATTTCCCTTATAACAGAAAAGTCTTAAAAACTTAGTTTGGACTGTATAGATATTTTCACAGATATAACAAAATGGGTGTTTTAAATTGGCTTTTTTAAAATATATTATATTTTACTATCTGCAGCTATGAATACAACATTTTACATATTGTATTCAATTCTTAGTTTTTTTTTCTAAAAAGAGAAAAAATTTAATTTCTGAAGAATCCACCACCAGTAAATTCCATTCTCTGAAATAGAGAAAAATACACAACATAAGTAGTTAAACTATAACAAAAAGATTTAATTGGCAACAAGCAAGCATACGATTTTTATTGATTGAGATGTAACAATTTAGTTGTAGAGAAAAATGAAACTTTTTTTTGTAATAACAATGATGATTAGGCCAGATATATTTTGATATTTGAAAAAAAAAATTGAAAACACAAAATACTAAGAGATATCTAATCATCTAATAAATATTTATAATAAAATACAATACTTTAAAAGAAATTTAATTTTTGAAACATGTGAAAAGAGAACTTGACAAACAGATAAACTGAATGTATGGATGAAGAACAAAATAAAAATATCAAGTGATTGTAGTTTTAAAGAACATTCACTATACTAAGAACTATTTGAAAGATGTGAATATTGTATCTATACACTCCTGTTTTTATAATAAATAAAAATGTGTGAGGCCAGATTTAGATCTCCAGTATCCATATCGTATTGGATAAGCTAATATCTTGCACTACTACAATAAGTTTATTGCAAACAATTAGCATTTCAGATGTACTTTTGGCTGCTATAGTTCAGCTCAACTGTTAAGTTCCAGTATTCGATGAAAGTGATACATATGTAAAAGATAGGCTTAAAAGGGTTAATTAAGAAGATAAACGATTACAAGCATATGTGATTTCATTTTAATACAACGAACAACTAAATGATCCAAGTTCTTTTTAGACTAGCTGGGTTAAAGAGAGACGATGTTAATCAAAAACTTTTATCTTGGAGAAACTGCTCAAAGATTTTCTTTATTAAGAGACAGAATGGTTTTGAAATAAATCAGCAATATTCGAAGGACATTTTATGGATAATTCAAACTAGAGAAGATGATCAAACATTATTTATTTTCTAGTTGATTCAACCAGATTAGAAACATTATTTTCGAGATCACTAAGAAAGATGTTGGATATATAATTTTCCTCAACTCGAGGTCACAGACAAAAGTATAGTGTAATAAAAGAAAAGTAATTTTATGTTTTATTTGATATGACAATTAACATTTTGATACGAAAGATTCAAATCAAAGAAGATAAAACAAAATTACAGAGGACTGGTTGTGATTTATAGTTACTAGAGAGTGTAACATTCTCTTGTACAAATTTAGGCACTGACCATTTTAAATCACACCAACCCCCCCTTGTTCAAGTTACATACAATTAGGCAGTTTACGTCGATTAAACACACAAAAAAAATGAAATTCTTCATAGTAAGACAGAATTATGTCGAATAAACCTACCATATAAAATAAACATAAAAAAAATGTCTATCATCTAAATCATTATTTGACAAAAGTCTGTGTGTATGTCTGCTTATAACTGGTATGTACTCTTTAGAATCCCCAAGGAGTGATATCTGTGTGGAGGAGGGGTGGGGGTGGCATTTGGTTCTGATGTCTCTGTGGCTTTCCTGTGCATTAAAATGGCAGGTCAGCTAGTTACCATTATTGATACACTAGCACAGGGTTATTGACAAAGCAGTTTGAGTTAGTTTTAATACTTTTAATACACTTGGCTAATGGAACTGGGGGGAGGTGGTGGGATGAAATAATGATACAAGTCAGAAGCATTATTTCCTCAAAGTTTATTACTAAAAATAGTAAAATATCTTGATAAAAATCAGACAAAGACAAAAAAATCAGCTCAGAATAGCTGGAACACAATCAGTAAACACAATAAATTCTGTAGCTTTACTTATTTTCAGTCTTATAGCACTTAACAATATTCTTAAATTAGGGCTAACTTTGAAAAATCTTGGTGGATGCAATGAAGATAAATCTGGGTTCAACAACAGATGAAAAAGAAATTGAGAAATCTTAAACTTTTGTTTCTCCTTGAATGAAACAAACATTTAAGTTTTAGGAGCAGTGTTAGAAAAACTTGCCAAATCCAGGCATCTATAGCAACACATGGTGACCAGGTAAGTTTCAAGAGGTGAATAAAGATTTAAATTTGCAGTATTCTTTGGTGATAACAACACTTCTACTTTATAGCATTAGAGAGCATTTCAACATACATTGTAAAACTGGGCACAAGCTGAAAATGTTCGAAATGATGCTAACGTGAAAGTGTACAACTGTTGTTAGCCATAAATGAAGGAGATGGTGTATACAATCAGGCATGTACAGGTTTCAGGTAAAGAGTGAGATGGTGTAGGCAATCGGCATGTACAGGTTTCAGGTAAAGAGTGAGATGGTGTAGGCAATCGGCATGTACAGATTTCAGGTAAAGAGTGAGATTGTGTAGGCAATTGGACATGTACAGGTTTCAGATAAGGAGTGAGATGGTGTAGGCAATCGGCATGTACAGATTTCAGGTAAAGAGTGAGATTGTGTAGGCAATTGGACATGTACAGGTTTCAGGTAAAGAGTGAGATGGTGTAGGCAATCGGCATGTACAGATTTCAGGTAAAGAGTGAGATTGTGTAGGCAATTGGACATGTACAGGTTTCAGATAAGGAGTGAGATGGTGTAGGCAATAGGCATGTACAGGTTTCAGATAAAAAGTGGGATGGTGCAGGCAATTGGGTATGTACAAGTTTCAGGTAAAGAGGGAGATGGTGTAGACAAATGGGTATGTACAGATTTCATGTATGGAGAAAAAGAACCTTCCTTCAGAAAATTTACAATGACAACACCATTACAAAACAGGTACAATTTTTTGGCAAAAAAATTCTATACAAGAAAAAAAGTTCTCTCTCAGGTCAATATAACTACAATTTAACCCTTTCAAAGGCTTAGGCCACATAGTTATCACCAGATTGTAGAAGTTTTTAAAAGGCAGTGACACCTGTATTAACATTGCCCCAAAATGATGTAAATGAAAAAAGGTAAAATAATGCCAATTATATTTTTTCTTTCTGATTGAATTCACTCACAACCACTTAGTTCAATTTTTGAAAAATTGTTTTGATTTTTCTGCCCATTAAAGTTCATATTTCATACATAATTAACTTGAAAAAAAAATACAGAAGACAACTTTAATGTTTCTGTAGTTACTCCCCTACCTGCTGTGGTTCCACAAAGTCTAACCAGTCTGATGCATGTGTAGGTAACAAACCCATCGAAGAACATTTGTACAATGCAACCGCTAAAGAAACTAGATTTCCAAAAAGATACACAACTTTTTGGAAGAAAGCTTGGCTCCCTTCTATAAGTTTAAAGGCTGGTGACAAAAAAAAAAAGATAAATGAAAATAAGTTCAACAATAACAATGTAATCTTGTTGTATTTTATCAGAATAACAAATATTGTTAAGAATCTTTTCCAGTCCTAATCTAGATGTGCCAGGCATGTGAATTAGAATAAGTGAAACATGATTTAGCTCATTTCAAACCATTATTTCAATAATCTGAACAAGTTGACAGTTGAAAGAGTGCAGCTCACTTAACTTTTTAAACCCGAGCAGATGCTATCAGTGTCCGGCCGAAATTCTCGATTTACCCACTGGACAGTGACAGCATCCAATAACGTTTATGTCTCTTTGGCTGAAAACTAATCCAAATCACGTTATTATCCACTTTTTATAGATAGGCTGGAAATTGTATAAGGTATGATGATAATTATTAGGATATCCTGAAAATAATTTGCGAAGAATGCACAAAACATTATGGATTTAAAGAGGTAAAGATTAAACATCTAAACTAGTATACAGTTGAAATATAGTGCAGCTTACTTAAACATACAACATCTGAACTAGTGTACAGTTCAAACATCATGTAGCTCATTTGAACATACATCTGAACTAGTGTACAGTTAAAACATCATGTAACTCACTTGAAGGTACAACATCTGAACTAGTGTACAGTTAAAACATCATGTAACTCACTTGAACGTACAACATCTGAACTAGTGTACAGTTCAAACATCATGTAACTCACTTGAACGTTCAACATCTGAACTAGTGTACAGTTAAAACATCATGTAACTCAATTGAACGTACAACATATGAACTAGTGAACAGTTAAAACATCATGTAGCTCACTTGATGTTACAACATCTGAACTAGTGTACAGTTAAAACATCATGTAGCTCACTGGAACGTACATCTGAACTAGTGTACAGTTAAAACATCATGTAACTCACTTGAACGTACAACATCTGAACTAGTGAACAGTTAAAACATCAAGTAACTTGCTTGAATGTACAACATCTGAACTAGTGTACAGTTCAAACATCATGTAGCTCACTTGAACATACAACATCTGAACTAGTGTACAGTTAAAACATCATGTAGCTCACTTGATGTTACAACATCTGAACTAGTGTACAGTAAAACATCATGTAACTCACTTGAATGTAGAACATCTGAACTAGTGTACAGTTAAAACATCATGTAGTTCACTTGACGTTACAACATCTGAACTAGTGTACAGTTAAAACATCATGTAGCTCACTTGACGTTACAACATCTGAACTAGTGTACAGTTAAAACATCATGTAGCTCACTTGAATGTAGAACATCTGAACTAGTGAACAATTAAAACATCATGTAGCTCACTTGAATGTACAACATCTGAACTAGTGTACAGTTAAAACATCATGTAGCTCACTTGAACATACAACATTAATGGTGTTAGTGACTTATAATCATGTAGCTCACTTGAACATACAACATTAATGGTGTTAGTGACTTATAATCAAAATATATGATCTTAATTTCAGTAATCTTATCAAATGTAATTCACATGTCTCTACAAAAACACATTGCAAGCCCACTGAATGAGGTTAAAGAGACTACTTCCTACACTTACGAACAGTTTCTAATAAATTGGTGACAAACTAGTTGGCAAATAAATAGGAAAACAAACACAACTGGCAAAATGTAAACTTTAAAGGAAGCACAATATTTTAAATTAATGTAAACAAAAAACTCATTAAATCAGCATCAATTTCTGGAGAAAAAAACAATCTTACACTGCTTCACAACTTCTGTTAGAAAAATACTTACTAGACTGTATTGTAATCAGTGCTTTCACTGGTCGAAGGAACAACATTCCCACCATCATGATTGGAAATATAGAGATCGAGTTTCCTGCCATGTACATTATAAACAGGTTCATGGGGACTTGTTTTAAAGGTGCGAGAGCAATGTCCCAGGATTTCTGTTAAAGTAAAAATTTAAAACGTGCAATAATTGTGAACTCAAACTGGTTTAGGAACCTGTTATAAGAGAAAACTTAATGTTTTAGCTATAGATCTTGGTTGGAGATTGATATCTGATTCGTATCTTATAATAAAAGTGAATGGTCAAGTTTTTTTTCTCATTTCAAACATTTTAATGACATAATCACACATTTACTTACAGACATCATTATCACACTTCTAAAAGTGTTCCTTCTTATGTACACAACATAGATATTGTTACAAGAAAAACATAGTAGTCATATTATTTTAGAATTGTTTAATTAACCATTTTCCAATTATGGATGGTTTCCACGTTTTCCTTCATAATTGTAATTTTGTTATTTAAGGTCAGCTTTTTTGTTTATTTATAGTGTTTTTGGTGATGGAAGAGTTATGCAAGGCCAATCTTTTTTTGATTGATAAATAGTGTTTTTGTGATGGAAGTATTATGTAAGGTGTGCCTTTTTGTTTGTTTAGTGATTTTGTGATAGAAGTATTTGTGGAAAATTGATTCTTGCAGTGTTAAACAAGGGCTTCCTTTTTTTATATTAAATTTTTAAAATAACTGTGATGTAGCTTTAGATGAAACACATTTGTGAACTAATGTCTTCCTCTTAAACTGAAACCCACCACATTCCAAAATGACTGACATTTTGAATGTTTGGTTCTGTACAATCATGTTGAGTTTCATTATTTTCTGGGATATTCTATCATTAATAAGTCTGGAAGTTATTACATATTAAATTAAAAACATTATAGTTATTATATGTAACCTTGGAGTTTTGGGAACAAACTCATTCACTTTCAAATCAGACAAATTTCTCAAATCATTTCAAGTTCAAAACTGAATGACAGAACACACAATACTTATAAAAACTGATCATAATAAGTACAGTCTTATAAGTGCATACAGAATTATGTTTGATTATTAACATTTTTCAGATACATTGATTTATTATCAAAATAATATTACACCACCACATTGAATAGGTTTTATATAAAAAGAAACTCATAAAATTGAACAAAAAAAACTATTGGCAGAAAAGAGCAGATCAAACACCATTTTTTCATTTTCTTCCATTTACTATACTGATGTATTTGTTTTTTTTTTCATTTAACAGTTGCTTAACTCTGGGTTTGATGTTTTTATTGATATGCTACTTAATAACACTGTTTTAATTCCACATACAACAATACATGTAAATGCTTTTATTTGCCATAAATGAGTTTTTAACTGGTAAACTGGTTGTTCAACACTCATAATGAATGAAAAATTTCTTTCTAAGATCAGTTAGTAAAATAATGAAAAATTAAATTCAAAACTTTTATAAAACACTGCCAACTTTTGGTAGTTAAATAAGCAATATGATCTGGCCAAGTCATATCTCAGTTTTATAAAATCAGTAACTGCTATAAAGCAGACAACATCCAAACCAGAAAAGAAAGATTTTTCTATCTTTAAAACTTCCTAGTATATATTAGGAAAGTTATTATAAAACCCAATGTATCAGTATAGTTTCTTAAAATATTATTCAAATTAGTCTTCATCCTTTTTTAATATCCCTAATAAATTTGTCTTATGTTCACCCTTAATGTAACTTTGACTTGGGTACATAACTATCAGGAAAAGCAAGGTTTAAATTACCAGGAACTTGTGACCTATGGATATCAGATTACTCACATGTTCATCCTTTTACATATGCATATTTCACTTTCTTACAGGTACCTCGTTTCATTTGTGACTCCTTGACTTATAGTTAAGTTCAGTCCTCAGATGAAAAATGAGCCAACAAGGTTCTAGCAGGTTTTGTGTTTACAGCTCCATAATAATGACACTTTTAACTTTTTTTATCTTGAAAACTAATCTGCGATAGTTTTGATGTATACAACCCCATGACAATATCACTCTCAGCTACTCTAATCATGAAACTAATCTGTGATAGTTTTGATGTATACAACCCCATGACAATATCACTCTCAGCTACTCTAATCATGAAAACTAATGTGGTAGTTTTGATGCTTCATAGTTCAGGACAATGACACACTTAATTTTTCTGATCTCAAACTAATCTCTGCGAGAGGTTTGACACTTTACATCATCAAGACAGTGATAGAATTCTAAGTTCCTTAACATTGAAAACCAATCTTTGTGAGAGGGTTGATGTTTCTAACTTCAGGACAATGATATTTAACATCCTTAATCTTAAAACCAACCCATATACGTTGTCTTAATAATATTTCTGCTTTCAATCCAATTTAAATGGTTTGTTCTAAATGGAACAAATTCACCCTTAAAGAAATTAAACTAAGTAAATGAATGGGAAGAATTAATTAATTAATATTAACTTCTGACTAAAACAACCCATGTACTTAGAGCAAAACTAAAAAATCATCTTCGCAATCAGTATTGCCAATTATACTTTTCTTACCTTTCTACTTGTAAAGACTAGAAAACCTGAGGATGACAAAAATTTTGTTGAAACGTCGTACATTTATATTCAAGTTTTTATTACCCAGTCAAGCCGTCTCAAAACTTTTATTTTCTAAAAAGTGGGTTTCTCGTTATCAAACTAGAATGCACTGTTTCATCAGTTGGGTACCCTCACTGTTAATAATATTTTTGGCCATAATAATTAGTTACAGCAAATATTATTTCTCATGTTCAGTATGATGAAAGATGCCATTTTTGTGTGAAATACCAAAATTCATGAGATGTTTTGTACCACAATAACAACTAAAACGCATGTCTAAATAGTAATACTAAACAAAAGTAGACTTCTGGTGTTTTAGATAAGAATCTATGAGTCATCAATGTAGCAATCACATGCCCAATTCAGTAAATCCTTATGTAGTTTGAAAACTTCTTATGAATAAGGTAAAACTGTAGTATATACTGTGTAGTGAGGTTTACACAGGATTCTTTAAAGATTCGACAGATGTCTCACAACAATTCTGAAAAAGTATAAAAAGTTATGATTATATTTTAACCAACTTCTATGAAAGTTCCCTGATGCACAAGAACAACTTTGTGAAGTTTCACTTCTTCTCAATTTTAATTAAAATCATGTAATCTTTACCACAACAATTAAAATTTTAATGAGAGCTATTCTCAAACTAGTCTAGCTGTTAAAAACGTTAATACATGAGGTAAATGTGTCAAATTGTGCATTTCAAGCTGGCCATTAAACTTACAAAAAAGTATATAAATGTTAAAACACTAACTTTACAAGAAATCTTAACTTTTGTTTCAGTCATCTAACTACTATTGACATCACTACCTTCAACTTTGACCAACTCTGCATACATCGAATCCTGACCAACTCTGATTATCTTGACACCTGACCAACTTTGCATACCTTGAATCCTGACCAACTCTGACTATACCTTTTACTTGTATTACACCAAATTTCTTCCTGAAGTTTCTAAAAGGGCTTCAACTAGGATAGCACTATATATCTGAATTTCTTAAAAGTCTAAGCTTAGCACTTTGGTCCATGTTTAGGTAATGTGAATGTTACATCTAGAAAAACCTAGCAGTCAATCTTGTAACAACAAACTAATCAGAGGACATTCACATTAGAACAAAAGATCATGTAGCTGTTCCACAGTGTTCATTTAATAAGAGATTTTAAAATAAATGAAATATATAATAATTTAAACATTTTTGGATTCTAATACGTTAAGACAACTTACTAGTCAAGCAAAACCTTTAAGGGCTTCATATACACATTTCTCACCTTTACAATGAGACTGGCATCAGTTTCTTTGCTGGCCTCAACATGGACTTGTCCAAGAGAAGAACTGTATCCTGGTGGTGAGGCTAATTCAATCTGTCTTTCTGACTTTGCTCTGGAAGATTCATAGTAAGATATTGTAAAAAATCAAAACACTGTTAAATAAAATGAGAGTACATCCTCTTTGTGGTACGGTATCTTTGCCAACCCTACTCTCGATAGAGACTTGCAAGTTAATGACATTGCATCCCAAAAGTAACAAAGTTGTACAAGACTATTTAGCTTTGTAAACTTGATACTTCTGTGACTGATAGACAGTGATGATATTGTAAGTTCACTAAACTCAACGTAGATAATCATGCAAGTTGTTCACCCTAAAGTGGACCTAGTACCTTTTTTGAAAATACTTAGCTTTTTAGTTCCAAGAATCTTACAATCTCTAGCTGATAGTTGTGTTGAAGGAATAACTTCTAGCTGGGAAATTCTTTTATTGGTGATACTTTATGGTATTACACAGATTAGCTATTTTAGTAGAACCTTCCACATATACTTGTAGAACACTCCAACTATTTGGATGTGTGAACTAAATTGACCATTGACCATGTAATGTCATTTCAGCCTTATAAATACAAAGCTGTAATCATTTCATGTTAAATAAAGAACAATGGGTTCAAGGATTTCTTCAATTTTCTTCCTTGACTATACTATTATCAGAAGGAAATACACATAGGCATATGAGGAAAGGGGGGGAGCAACCCCCAGCTTGCAATACATATGGACATTTGTGCAAATTTTCAGTTTTCATTCAGGCAAAATTAGAAGAAGAAAATATGGTAATTTGGGCAGTTTTTACCTTCATTTGGGAAAAACTCATAACCCCATTTGAGCAAAAATTGTACATACCCCCCCCTCTGAAAACTTCCTCTTACACCTATGGAAATTTAACAGATCATCTTTGGGATGAACTTGTACATTCACCACTGTAATTGTCTGTTGACCTCTGCAAATCAAATACCAGTTATATGTCTATTTCTTGAGTTCAACAAATAGACCATAAATAACAAAGAAAAACAATATCCTTAATTTTACTCTTATTAATAGCTACTTTGTCATAGAGAATTTACTTTAAAAATGGTAAAAGAAACCTTTTCTCTAAAAAGTAAAGGATAAATTTAAATTTTACTTTTCTCAAGGAAGGGTGTACATGAGTGCCTTGAAGGACCTAATGGTCTTTTATTGTTCAATTGTTATGTTAGAATAAACATTTAAAGGTTTTATGGTTTTTGTAGCAACAACTCAAAACCTTTAAAAAGATGTCAGTTGAAAGAGCCTGAACATATTCAATGAAATGTTTATGCAGTGTCTGTCCCAATTTTTTTCTTTTAATCCTTATATTTCAAAAGCAGCCATGACAAAGACCTGAAAGTGTGGTTATGATAAAATTTTTGAACTAAGAAAATACAAAAATTATTTGTTAATGGTACAGTCATAAATACTAAATGGAGTAACATTGGACTGGAATTTAAGTCAGTTCTTTATTATTATTTCCTTATTTGAGAATAGCCATATTTACCAAATTGAGAAGTGAATTTATTAGCATGTTTTATGCAGAATTTTAAAAAGCATATAGTCATGCCATTTTATGTGTGTAATGCATGTTGTAGATCAGCTATTTTTAAGCTGTATGTAAAATGTTTAAGTTTTATTTGAAAAACTAAATGTGTTTCGTGAATAACCAAAAATATTCAAACAGCATTAAAAGAATATATAACAAGATCATACAATACTCTTTCTGGGTTATAAGAAAAGTAAGAGCCATTTTCCCAATTTAAAATAAATAATGTTTACATTTTTTTAGTACATAAAAATATTTTTGGTCGGCATAATAAAATTATTTTTGATGCAACTTTGACAGAAGTCGTATGAAATTTATCACATTTGGCAATATATACTATTCTATATCCACAGAGCACTTGTAGTTTATACCATTTAAATCATAAATACAGTTGAAATAATAAGAGTCAGTCTTACACAGTCAAGAAATAGGGTTATCAAGTCTTACCTTAAATGTATTAGGTCGTCAAGACATTCATGAAAAAATCCGAACAACTTGTACAACTTACAATCAGGTTGTTAATGCCCTGATTAAAGACATCACTTGGCTTTGAAGCAAAAAAACATGTCAATGTCCTCTTTTAACACCTTCCACATTTGAATACATTTTCCCATTAAGATGTTGTAGCAAATGAAAAAGATGGTAATCTGATGATGCCATATCTGGTGAATATGGAGGGTGGGGGTGAACTTCTCAACCCAACTCCATAATCTTGTGTTGCAAACGTGCCACATCTGGATGTGCATTATCATATAGAAGAAGAAGAATACCTTTCCAATTGACGAGTAAAGGGCATTTCTGATGAAGGACTTGATTTAAATGTTCCAGTTGTTGACTATAGATCTTTGCATTGACAGTTCGCTGTTGATTGAGGAGTTCATAATGAATTACTCCTTTGATGTCCCACCAAAGCATCACTTTCTGCGAATGGAGTCCATGTTTTGGGGTCAGAAGTCATTTTTGTCTAGGACTGAACCATTGTTTTGGTATTTAATATTCGTATAAAGAATCCATTTTTCATCACCAGTGACAATTCTGTCCAAAAATGGTTCATGCACATCACTCGCCAGAAGAGATGAAGCAACGTTCATACATTGGAAATGATGATCATCGGAGAATTCGTAAGGCACCCAAACACTTTCTTTATGGAGTTTTCCTATATTCTTTAGATTTTTACGTATTGAGAGACATTCAATTTCAGGGCCATTTCACAATATGTTGCCTTGGATTAAACTCAACAAGCATCTTCAGAGCATCAATATAAATTCCAATATGTCGGTCCCTGCCATCACAGT